GAAAGAGATGTTATAAATGGTGATGATTTGCAGGCTCTTTCACTCAGACTTTCTTGTGTTATCTAGTATAATGAGAATTTCCTAGAGGTTTAAATCTTGGTTTTGCACTAAAGATCCAGCAGTTATGAGATCATTAGACTGTACGGTGCAGTTTTTAATGTAGCCAATGTAACTTCTCCTGATAAATGCCCGGCCCCTCCCCCACAAGCTGCAAATCAGAAATGACAAGTACTGTAATGTTGAAATTGGATCCAAAAGGATTTAGCAAACTGAGCATTTGCCATATTTAGCATTATCAAAGTTCCTTCCTCTCATACTTCAGTGATGCATTGCTGATCTTCTGATTAGTCTGATCTGCTGTTTCTCTTCAATCACCTACACTACTATTCCTAAACCGTCCCCCTTTATCTTTTCTTGAGAGAAGAGATTGAAATTCGTGCATATACTTTACTACTCCGAAACTGACTATTAGGAAAAAATGATAAAGCTAAAATGTGCATTTGGTCCGTATCAGGCTGTGCCATTGATTTGCTCAGGAATCTGTGATACTGTGTTCCTTTCCCTGCGCATTGCAACTGACAGCTTGTAGCAAAGTCAAATAAGATGTTTAACAAACCACATGTCCTATCGTTTTTTGCTTTGCCATTGTACCCTTGTGGCTGTGAGCCAGAGACAGATACAACGCCTCCTCCAGTGCAATGCAACTTTGCCTGTGTTTTGTGTGCACACGTGTGCGTATGTGTGTAGCCAGTTCCACATTTCTCTCCCGCAGTAGGGTTAGCTGGAGAAACCCGTGCTGAGCTGCACAGAGCAATTTGAAACTGAGTTTTGAAAGGGGGGGTGGGGGACGACCCACTTTTTTTTTTTTGTGGAAGGTGAAGATGCTTCTCTGCTCTGGGGCTGTTCTTCCAGGGAGGGAGAAGGTGGGTCATCCTGGTGAATGAAAGCCACAAATGTCAGTGTCCCAGCACAAATGCCGAAGTTGGTCAGAAAGAGAGGACAGCTTGCTGTGCCACTTGACATCTGTCTTATCTGTGGTGTTGCCATAGGCTTTTGAATGCCAGTTGCAATAGTTAAAGTCAGGTATTGTTGCTATGCATTTAAAGAAGAAAAAAAAAACCCACATCATTTCATAACTCTCTTTCAAAATCCATCCTAACACATATCATCAGAGCTCACAGTTATGACTGTGGCAGGATGATTTCAAACAAGGGGGACAGCATGCTGTGAGTTAAAATAAAAATATGGTTAAAAACCATAAATAAGATTTTTTTTTCCCCCGATTTATGTACTTACAACAAGCAAAAGAAATTGGCCTGAGGACAATACCTGGTTTTTAGCCTTGCTTTGGCTCCCACTCCTCCTCCATCATCCTTGTTCCCTGGCATTTTTTTGTAGTTGCCGTCGTTCTTCGTGTATTAACATCTCTCTGCACGATGCCCGTTCCTTTTCCTTGTGGGCATTTAACGACTCGGTCTTAGTTCTGAAGTCTCAGGGTCTCTCTGTGCTAGCGATTTCGCTCTATGCCCTCCTGCCTACTCCTTACACTCGCCACACTCCTCTGCGTAGCGAGCAAATGAGCACCAAAGTAAGCCCCCGCACACGCCATCTTTCTGAGCTCAGCCTGCCTGCTGCTTCACGGGAACTCGCCTGATTTTGCAGACGTAGTTATTGAGATTGATCACAATAGTGAGACATCTGCCAAGCTGCGTTATTTGCACAAATACACTGTATGCAGTTTTGGTACAGTGGGGCTTGACGCGATGATTGCCTCTTTTCATAGCGCTAGTTACGGCACGTGTCATCGTTTCGAAGAGAGAGAAAACCATTTTTAAGAAGTTTGCTCTGCTTTTGGCAGGGGAAAACCGTACTAGTGCGAAAAACCTAATTAAGACCAGTTGTACTCAAATCTTAGCAGAAGGTTTAACTTAAGGCACTCTGAGTTAGTCCCATAAAAATCAATGAGATTATGTAAAACAATTCAAATAACACCACCTATAAAATCTAAGTAATAACCCAGTCACGTAAGCGGCCTACGAACCCTTGAGAGGAACGCTGGCTGCCAAAATTTTCAGAAGTGATGGTGGTTTCAGGCCAGTTCCATTTTGGGATGCTCAACTGGAGATCTGTTAATGAGAGCCACTTTGTCAGGAGGTCCTCGACGGTCCATTCCCTGAAAATGAAGTGTGCCCAGCACTGCATCCAAAAATTAAGACATCCTAAATTATCGAAAATTCTGGCCACTCATGTGCTTATTTTAGGAACCTGTATTCTTCCCCAGTTTCATCTGCAGGATTCATCTTGAACTGAATTGGTGTTCATCAAAAGGAGAATTAAAGCCTTCGAACCTGATTCTTATTTAAACTAAGGCCACTTACCAGTGGTTTTGTGATACACAGGCACTGTAAAGTACAACTTGTAACCACCCTAATATTCCTTCACACAACCGGCGCAGTGCAGAGTGTCCTCAAGAGAAGTGAAAATCAAGCGCATAACTTGCTAACTTCCATCTCGGCGATTGCTCTTTCCGTACAAACTGCTCTGCCGTGGCAGTCTCTGCACTTCTGGTGGTACCAGCAGTGGGCACAGCCTAACGGGACAGTTGTTTGTTTCAGTACTAAACTCCTCGCATTTTTTGCCTCAGCTGTATACTTCCTCCTTCAAGGGCTTTATTGTTGTAGCGTTTCAACATCGTTCTCAGCATTCTTAAAGACAAAGTCGGAAGGCCGCTGTCTGGTGATCTGCAGCAAGGGGAGTAAAGCTGCTTTGGCAATTTGAGAACAGCAAACGTAACTGTCCTGATTCCTCTGAAGAAAAACTGAAACATAGGTGTCTAGATGGAACAACTTCTTCACTTTAAAAGCTTGGTTTCAGGAAATTTAATTGGTGCCCTCAGGCCTTTTTCCTTTTGTTTTTTTTTAAAATTTGAAGACGCTCTCTTGTGAAACAGCAGAGCTTTCCTTGAAACTGCACAGGAAATGAACCCGGTTTTTAATCAAGTAACAAAATCCACGGCTTGCAATAGAAGGTCCGTGCATTGCATGTATCAATTAATGCTTATTAATCAGTTTTTGCAGTTAGTTGAACTGCAGCTTGTAGTTGGAAGCTATTAGGGAGAGAATCGCGAGAGGAATATTGTTGCAGGACTACACTCGTTTTTTCTGTTTGTGTCCTTTGGATTCAAGGTGTTTGTATAATGAAGTTGGCACGTTGATATATGATCTATTTTTTAATGTCATTACAATTTCAGTTCCCTCTGCCTTTTTGTCATTGGGTTACATTTAAGCACAGCAAGATCAACTTTAAACTTCCTTACTCAACAGCTTTATTAGCTATAACGTACCGTGACCTTTCTCAACATTCTTAAAGAAAAAGATACAGTGTAATGGCACTTTACTTTGCTTATTGTTCTTTGTTGTGGTGAACAAAGCA